AAGGCAGCCCTAGTCCAGCTCAGGCATGGTCAATCGTATCAAGAAAATCAGTTGCTGCCAGAGCGCAGCTTTTGTACATGGAAACCCTCGAAGACTCCTGGTCGTGCTGCTGGGCATACTGCTTGGCGAAGTCGTAGAAATCGGACTGGGCAGGGAATTGGGAATCCACTCGAGAGCTGTCTGGCTATCGGTTTTGTCCTAGGCTTCCGAGCTTACTTACCCTACAGTAACCATACAAAGAAAGTTGACCTACTCACGTGTATTATTCGGAGAGTTTGGGGCCCTTTCTTTAAGTTCGAAACCGTCGGGAGGAAACACAGATTTGGGATCCTATTTCAAACATTGATTGGAATGCTTACCCAGCCTGAAGAGCCGTAGCTTTCCCCGGAATGATATGCGGGAGGAGCACTGTCTTGAAAGCCAATACAGACCCTTCCCAAAGCTTCTGGGTCCAATTGTCTGCCTTGGGTCGATACCGTCGGGCGAATGTGTTCGGCCACTCAGCACTTGCAGCCTTCATGGCCTTCTTGGGCACCTTCTTCGGAGCAGACTTAGGCTCGGGAGTGCCCTCGATCCCTCGCTTGCCACGAACCCTGGAGCTGGGAACATTCACGGCATCCACGGCTGCTACAGCCTTCTTGCCTCGCTTGCGCGCTGGCGCAACACTGGCACCCTCAGCCTCGTCAGCCTCATGCTCGACCTGATGCTCGCCCTGTGGATCCGACTTCTTTCCGCGACCTCCTCTTCCCCGCCCGCCTCTGCCTCGGCCCCGCTTTACGGGAAGAACCTCAGCTTGCTGGGGCTCGGGGGCATCTTCCGGAAGCTCGACAGGTTCGGGTTCATGATGCTCGTCGGCCTCTGGATTCGACTTCTTTCCGCGACCGCCTCTTCCCCGGCCACCCCTGCCCCGACCTGCACCTTTGCCTGTGTTGGCAGCCTTGGCCTCCTTGTCATCTGCATTGGAAGCTTTCACCGCGAGTTGCTCATCACGTGTGCAATAGGATTTCACAGGGGTTATCTCAGCAGGTTTGATTCCTCTTGGGCTCGGGGTGTCCTCGGCGGCAGCTACGGGTGCCACTGCATCCGGCGACCTGACATCTCCAAGCTCCAGGGTCTTCTCGTCCGCAAACCTTTTTGCCGGAGATGGAACAGGCTTGTCCAACTCCGACAAAGCACCCACCAGAAGCTGGGTTGACATATCGAATGCCTGCGTCTCCAACTGATCCGGCACTGCTCCCGATCCCACAGGAGCCGATGCCTTGTGCAACACAGTGGCAGAGGGGGGCTCGGCCTCCTCATCTGAATCCAGACTGATTGGTCCTGGCAGATGGCATATGGAACCCATATCGATAGGATCAAACACTCAGATAATCATGCATGCATATATGTCGGATCTTAATGAGAAACACCCACGATCCTTTCGGAAGGCTCCGGGCAAACTGCTTGGCCGCACGCTTGCGCTCAATGTCCATCCTTATGAAACATGAGAGCTTTTTCTTGCATGGACAAAACTCACAATTTTGTTAGCTGCAGTACGAGCTAGCAAAGTGCTAGCAAGCTACAATCGCTTCGCCTCCAGCTTCAGCTCAAGTATGCGCAGCTGTTGTTCCAAATCATTCCGAGTGGGTTCCCTAGGCATCAGAGCTTCCTCGTGAGACTTGGGGTCAGGGTTCCCAGCCAGAGCTTCCTCGTGAGCCTCGGGGTCAGGGTTCACAGCAGCACCTTCCTCCGGCACCGGTGCCGGCGTTACCTCGTCGGGCAGGGCTGCACTCGTCGAGGCAAGTGTCGGCTCCATCTCCTCTGAGATTGAGGCAACCGGGGCCTCATCATTCTTTGAACTCGGACCATCAGCATTCCTGGGCTGATCCGAATCCACATCTGCCTCAGGATCAACATCGTCATCGTCATCTTCATCCCCTCGAGCTCTCAGAGCCCTGGCGATGCGATCACCGACAGCCTTAATGGGCACAAGATCTACAACGACAGGGATTTTGCACAAGCAACTTCACCAAGCAAGGCCGAGCCACCTGTCGCAATTTGCCATAGGCCCGGTCAAACTCGGCGACGAGCTTGCGGACAGCTCTGTCCTGATTCCCACATCATATTAAGCGCATTAGAACAATACCATATGCAAACCTGATAACTCTTCCGATCGGAACACGTAGGCGAGAGACCCGAGGTGTTTGCTTACGCATCCATTTCCGCTTCAGGAAATTCAGCTGGCGCTTCAATCCCCACCCATCACCATAAGCTGCTTGACCGAGGGAAAGGGCATCGGGGTAGCCGGCATGACGATGAAACTCCAAGCAAGCGCCCTGCAACAGGAAGACCTTCGGAATAAAGATGCACCCCTCATCCGCCATGATTTTAAGGATCGTGGCCAAAACATCAGAGTTGAGCCTGCAGCATTCGATGTTGCCCACAACCACCGGGCTCAGACCGTGACCCTTCAAAACGACCCCTCGCAGCAGGTTCATGCCACGAAGACTCCGTTCTCGAAACGCACGAACAGCCTCCCACACGGCTGGCAGCTGAGCCATCCATGCGAAGCTTTTCGCATCGAAATTCGAGCTGCCCGCAGCAGCCATGATATCTAGCCTAGGCCTGCAACCTAAGCTACCGGACTTTCGAGAACAAAATCCTCACAGTTTTGGGAGCTCATACAAGAAATTGCCGTCGCTGCACACAGTGATTCCAGCTGATACATCACGATGACCATCCCTTGAACAAACATGCCCATGAGCCTCCTTCTGGC